CCTTTAATGCCCTTCGACCATGTAGCAGCCTGGTTTATGTATATTTGTTCTGCACTAGGCATAGCTCCGGTAAATCTTTTTATATGTTGCTTATACTTCCATACATTTGTTGCATTTGAAGCGAGGCGTATTTATCTCCCTATCTGGGTGGTTCTAGCAACTTCAAAATATGTTTCTTTGACCTTTTAGGGGCTTGAAAGTTCACTATTTTGTTCTGGTCTTACTTTTACTCCATTTTGGCTTTTTCCCCTTAAAAATCTAATGCCCCTGGAATTTATTTCAGTTTTTGTTTCTCACGATGTGTTTGTGGTGTCCTTTAATACGGTCCAAGGTGAGCACCTCAGTATGTTCTTATCCCCAAAGAGAAAATGGTTTAACTAGTAGCTTATGATTTATTTTGTCTCGAGACACAGAGGACTTGATGTGATATCCTTTTTCTCTTAAGTCCTCTCTTCCTTATTGAGGTGCTTAGTTACTAATCATTGTTCTTGCTCGTTCGGTACAATGTGATCTTGAAAGTTCTCATGGCTGGTGGCGGGGGGTCATGTTCAGAAGTGCGGTGAAAATCTTGTGACTAGTGTGAACTATATTCCTGCTCAGGTCAATCTCACATTAGGAGGCTAATAATATGTCATTCAGCAACAGAAGAAAAAAAAAAAAAAGCCAGTCCTGCGTGGCAGGGATTTTAGACAAAGCCCGGCAGCATCCGAGAAGTTAAAACTCTCTCCTTGGGCGAGACGTGAACTCAGGATGTCTGAATGCCAGACCGCTCTACCGTACACACACGGTTCCCATTCTCCATGCTTCCCTCTACGGTCTCCTGCAAAAAGGCCACTCAAGAACAACCTCCGAGGAGGCAGACGGGCGTCGGTCGATGCCCTCTTTTCAGAAGTCGGCGCTGCGCACGTGAATTAGAGCGTCTCTGCGGGACAACTCAAAGGTCCTTGAACCGCCACAGACGTTTTACCTTCACTTTCTAGAGCGAGGGGCTGAGGGTTTGCTTTCAAGGCGTGGCTGGGGATGGATGAATGTCTGAACCTGCTGTTGTTTTACCATCCACGTGTGTACGTTAGTAAGTTCACTGTTCTGAGCCCCCTTGGAATTCACAGGCCCTGTAGCCAGAGATGTGATGTCTCTACCGCACAAGGCCTGTCTGCCGCCAGACAGGGCGTTTCCCCCTCACCTCCTGGTCACTTGTAAACATACACTGGGCCTGGACGCTGTTCTGTGCCTGAAACTGTAATGGCACTGGACAAGGGAGGCTGGAGTTGTCTGAGGAGGGCATCCCGTTTGCCAGAAAGTTCTGTGGCGTGGGGTGCTGGTGAGACACGGAGCAGCGACGGTGCAGGCAGCTGGGCCCGGGGCGGGTTCGGGGTGGCTGGCTCTTCTGATCACCGTGTCAAACAACGTGCAGCACCCGTGCTGAGCACATGTTAGCAACACACCAGGTTCGCACGAATTCCCAACACACCACGCCCACACGCGAGCGCTGCAAAGTCATCTACTGAGAAGGGGAAGGAGGGGGCGAGCAGCTCACGGTGCGTGCGGACGGACGAGGACTCGGCCCTGTGCTTGCGAGGAAGGTGTCCATGCGAATGAGCGACGACACCCAAAGCGCCGTGAGTGGCTTCCCAACCCGTCACCTGAGGACAGCGAGAGCCAAGCGCCAGCTCTGGGAAATGCCCCAGCAGGGGGCCACCACCCGGGGGGCTTTGTCTGAACAACGGTGCAATCTACCTGCTGACTACGAGGTCGTAGGCCTGCCGCCACACACGGCGATTTCCTGCGGCTCCCCGAGGCCCAGGGTCTCGGGGAGACGGCCCCTCCTTGCCTGGCCGGGACAGCTCCGGATGCACGGGGCCGCCTGCGTTGCCGGAAAGGCCCCCTTCCCGAAGTCCTGGGACAGCCTCTTCTGAAGCGTAGGACCAGGCCATCCGTGACTTCCAAATGTCTGTTGGCCTGGCCGGGCGGCAGTCCCCACGGATGGAGCGAACTCCGAATGCGTACAGGTGTACTTTTCCTCGATACATATGTTTACCTATACACACCCGCACATTGTAATGTCTGGGGAGGCAGCTGAACACTTAATGCCTGTATTACAACATATAATAACATATACTAGGATATTTGCTAGACTGTATGTTAAAAACATTGTGAATATAGAATATAGGCAATGCCTACTCTATATAAATTGTCAAGTGTGAGAACCCAGCTAAACATTTCTTTTAGAATATATGTATCAGAACATATAGTAAAATATATTATATTAGAAAATATGCTCGAGTGTATTACAGAACATGTAGAGTATAATATATATAACATCTAATATCATGTCTAGAGCTCATAATATGTGTGAAGGCAGCTTAACAATTCTTTTATACACTATATTAGAATATCCAATACAATAGAGGATAGCGTATAAATAGACCACACGGAACAGAAAATTCCACCTGCCATTTATATAATATGTAACAATATATAGAAATTGAAAAGTCCCCGAAGGTAGGAGAAAACGCCTGTGATGCTAACACATGTATTCAAAATAATAGACTATATAATACACTATATTAGACTATATATTATAGGGTGTATTAGAATGTATAATGGGCCATAGATCATCTATAAAGCGTCTGAAGGTAACTGTACACTTCTTTGTTATGTTAACTCAGTGTGTGCGCACACATACACACTTGTCCTTGTCCACACCTGCGCCCACTCCAGACGAATCCGTATAGAAACACGCACACGTCGTGTGCCCCCAAGGAAGCGGCCTCCCGGGCTGCCTTGGTCGCCCCTGAATTCCACGGCCCCCGGGGGCTGCAAGCGGCTTCGGCAGCGGCGTCCTCGCGCGCCGCCTCGGCAGGGAGGGCGCTCGGATACCTGGCCCGCTGGCTTTTCTGGTCTTTCCAGTAGCGCGGCTGTGGTTTCTGAGGAATGCGGGCGATCCTCGCGCATGAAAGCTGCTTTGTAAAGGCAGGCGCTGCGAAACCTGCCCGGATCACGTATGGGGAAGGGTGCGAGGTAGGCGCCCAGACTCGGAGGGTGGGAGGCGAAGGGGCCGCAGCCGCCCCGCAGCCCAGAGTTGACTATGGCGGGTCCTGGCTGGGCGCAATGAGAACGGCCGGGCCTGTGCCCCAGTCCTGGACCACCGACGCGCCTCAGCCCCCAGCACGGCAGTCACGAGGTGGACCCCACGCGGGGCGAGCGCGCGCGCCGCGTGGGCAGCCCGCCTGCTGGCCGCGGCGCGGGGACGCCGCCTCGTTCGAACCCGGCCAGGCGCACGGGCACACGCGGCCCCCGCCTGGCGCGCATTTTTCGAATTCCAGCTGCCGATTTGGCAACCGGCGAGGGGAGAGCAGGCGTCACGCCCGGGGAGAATGCCACCCACAAAGTGCCCACGAGAGGTGGGGCAAGGCGGGCAGCCGGGTCCAGAAAACCACACCCAGAGCCGGTTCCGGTTTCCTGTCGCCCCCTCGGCGCGGGCCACCAGGCTTCGGCCGGTCCCTGGAAAAGGCTTCCGTCCTGAAGTTCTGACTTAGAGGCGACCTTGCCTTTCCCAGAAAGCCTCTTCCTCCGACTCCCTCCCCTCCCTCCGCCCCACGAGCAGAATCGCCGAGACCCCTCCACCGGGGTGGCAGGCAGGGGGCCCGGTTCTGTTTAAGGTGCCGTCCGCGGACCGGCGCCCGGGTGTGCCCTGGGACCTGGTAGCCCCGCAGCCTTCAGGCTTCGCCGGGCCGCGGAAGCCGGCGCGCTTTTCCACCAGCTCCCCCAGGGGAATAGGGGCCATTGAAAACAGAGGACATGCAGGGACAGTATAATTTCAGAGACACACTAGTCATTCTGCCGTATATCGAAACGGATAAAGGTGGCCTGGAATAGACACTCGGAATGTACTGTCTTTCCAGCCGTCCCTGGTACGTGTGGGGCAATCACCCATCAAGCTGCCTGCGCCGCATGTCGGTGACCTGCGTGTCAAATCTGTCTCGTTAATACTACTATTACTATTATGCTTATATTAACGGTTCTTTTGAAATAATTATGAATTCAGAGGGCGCTGAACAGAAACGTCCCGGAGGCCCCTGGTCCCCCGCGCGCGCGCGCGACACAGTCCGCGCCTGGCCGCGCGACCTAGTCCCACGGCGACCCCAGGAAGCTGACCCCGCACCGCCTCGGGGGCGCGTGGGCACCGAGCAGCCCACCAAGCCTCCCATCCGCGTCGAACTCTTCTTTCAGTTTTATTTTCGAACTTTACTTTGGTTTGAATCACGCTCTGCGCGTCCCCAGCCGATCCCGCCGCCAACTTCCCGGGATGGGGCCCCGCGATCTCGGCGGCCAGTCCCCGCGTCCCTCCGGGTAGCTCGACAGGGACCCCACCCTGGGAGGCCTGCGGTGGGGGGCAGCGGAGCGTGGGCCCCTCCCCCAAACCGCGCGCCCCGGGGTGCCCCGGCCAGCCGCCGCGCCCCGCCCTCGCGTCTCCGGGGCGGGGATTCGGCGAGGGCGGAGCGACCGGCGACAGCGACAGACCCCGCCCCGCAGGCCGGGTCCGGGCGGGCGGGGAGATCGCGCGGCCCCGCCCCGGCCGCTTCCGCCGGGGCTACCCATTATCGCGCACTCAGACCTCGCGCCGGCAGCGGCAGAGTCGGAACACGAGGAATGAACAGGGAGCCGGCCGCGCGCGGCCCGGACCCCGCCTCGACTCCGCGTCCCCGGGCCGCGCCCCGTTCCGCGGCCGCGCCGCCGCCACCGCCGCCGCCGCCGCCCGGCCCGCCGTACCCGCCCCTGGAAGCCGCCGGCTACTCCCACCAGCTGCTGCTGCTGCTGCTGCAGTGAACGCCGCCCCGCGCCGCGCCATTGTCCCCGCCGCCCCGCCAGCTGCACCGGGCCGCGGGCCGGGAGGCGAGGGGCGCGCATGGGTGGCCGCTGCTGATGCCGCCGCCGCCGCCGCGCCGCCCTCCGAGGCTGCGTCCCGGGAAGCCCGGCCTCCGTCGCCCTCTGGCCCGGCCCGGCGCCCGGGACTGGAGCGCGCCCCCATGGAGGCGCCCGGGCTGGCCAAAGCGGCCGCGGCAGACCCTGACCCTCCAGAGAGCCTGGGGGAGACCCCCGACGGGGCGCCCGCGCAGGTGACGGGCTCCGACGCCCCCTCGCCCGAGGCGTCCGCCTATCGGCTGCAGGACTTCGAGACGCTGGCCACCGTGGGTGAGTGCGACGCGCGGGGACCTGGCCCGCAGGGGCGCTCGGGGCCCCCCGGGACGCGGGCGGCAGACAAAGCGCCCGGTGTGTCGCCGTCCGGCAGCCTCCTGGGGAGCGCTCTTCCCTGTCCCGCCTGCTCCGGTGCCTTGGGTCCCATCGACGCCCCGAGAGTTGGAGTGAGTGCTCCCGGGCCCCCCTCCCTAGCCTCCCGACCTGCCCGCGCCCCACCTGGCGCCTCCAAAGGCACCTTGTTTACACTTGCTCCCCCCCCCCCAACCACCCCGGTGTCTGGGCTCCCCGACGTCACAAAAGTTCCGGGAGCTGACTCATCTTGGGGACCTCAGGCGCCCCCAGGCAGGGATCCCGAGGGACAGAGGCGGCCAGGGGGAGGGCACCCGCCGGCCTCCGCTTGGCCCACTCCGCTCGGCCCCGCGGCAGGAGGCTCCGTCGAAGGGGGGCCCGAGAAGGAGCTGGGCGCAGGTGTCCAGCAGCGCTTTGGGGTATGGACGCTGGAGATGGCTAAGACGTTTCCTGGAACCGCGGTGGCTTTTCTTTCCGTGCATCCGAGACTTGTCATCTTTCCTCAGATGTCTGTTGCCTTCTGTCCTCTCTCTGTCACGTCCACCGCCACCTGGGCAGCTGGAAATGTAAGTTTCCAGGTTCCCGGGCGCCTGGGTCCCGCAACGCGCCGGCGGAGGGGGCGCCGGCCGGGCTGGGTGGAAAGATCGCCACCCCGCGAGGTGCCGGATCCCAGCTTCCGTGCGGCTGCTTGGGGGCGGTGGCCGGCGGGTTGCAACAACGTGTTGTTCGTCTTCCAGGCGAACCAGGTGAGGGGCCCTCTGAGTGTGACCCCGACGCAGGGGTGTTGAAGCGCTTTCTTCCCCCTCCCCCACCCCAAATTGGGAAAGGAGGAGGGGGATCCGGGAGGTCCGCGCCGTGAGGTCCAGAGCCAGACTGACAAGGGAACCACGAGGGGAGAGGAGACTTCTCTTTTTCCATGTGACGCTGGGTGCGAAGCAGGAGCCGCCAGGGATTGTGATTTGGCATGGGGGGCGAGGGGGGCCCCCTTTCCTCTCCTGCCCCGCTCTCTTTCACTATCTGTCTATCTAGGGTAGAGGTTGATAACCAAAGATGAGCGTGCCTTTGGGGACAGGTAGCCGTGTATGGGGACTTTTCTGGGGAGCTGCTGCCCCCAGGTGGGTGGGCTCCAGGGAGGCTGGCGGCCCCCTCCAGTGCCCAGGACGCCCCACCGCGGAGAGTCCCCGAGTCCCAGGGTCAAGGTGTCAGGCCAAGGCTGAGAACGGCTGGCTTCAGCATGAGACACTATGAGCTTTCTCTCTCGGCTGCTTTCCTGCTTGCGTCTCCCTGGGTGTGTTAACCACCCGCGCACCTCCCGTAGCTGCCTGTGAATCCATGCATCCATCTATGCATCCGTTCGTTTGTTACCCGTCTAACGACATGGGTCATCTATTGACCCATCAGCAGCAGCCACCCATTGTCTCTCTCTTTTCCTCCACTCCTCTTTTTCCGTTGCCCCTCCCCCTCCCTCTCTTCCTCCTCCTCTTCCTCCTCCTTCTTCTCCTTCTTCCTCCCTCCCTCTCTCCCTCTCTCTCTCTGTCTCTCTCTCAAGCTGTTCTGGGCTGGTTTAAAAGCTGGCCCAGTTTAGCGTGACACCAGTAAGGGACAGGAACCCAGGCCTGGCTAGTTCCACGGGAGGTAGAAAGCAGGTGAACAATGGAAACTTGGGGGAGGACCCGCCGTCCCTTGGCACAGGTGCCCGCCATTGTATTGCTTTCGGGCCCGCGCTGGAGTCTGTTGTGCAAGTTGGACGCGGCTGCAGGCCAGGGCGCCGGGCCGGTGCCGGCCGGTGGGTGGGCTGCCGACGGGACCTCGTCTGGTGCCCCAGGCGCTCTGCCAAGTGGGCATAGGTGCCCGGTGAGTCATGTCCTCAAAAACACACTGTCGCCGCCTCTGGGGACCGGCCGGCCGGCCCGGGGCCGAGGAGTGAGCTGTTTTGGTCCTCCCTCTCGGCGTGTCTTCATGGAGAGGATGTGGGTTCATCCAGAGGAGCTTCTTGCGGGCTCCACGCGTGTGGAGGGACAGCCCTGTCGTCTGCCCTCTGGACATTGGATGCTCCGGGCACAGGGGCCAGATGGGTGTGCGTGGCCCTCTGCAAAGCTTCTCGCGTTTTCTGCGGCCTTTTGAATGTGGGCGAGAGATTAATCGGAGCATGCGTGAGTCAAGAGACGAAGAATAAGCTTCAAGGGCGCTGGCTGGTGAGGGTCGGTGGATTGAGCGCCGGCCTGTGAACCAGAGGGTTGCAGGTTCGGTTCCCAGGCAGGGCCCGTGCCTGGGTTGTGAGCCAGGTCCCCAGCAGGGGGCGCACGAGCCGCAACCACACACGGATGTTTCTCTCCCTCTGTTTCTCCTCCCTTCCCCTCTGTGTAAAAATAAATAAAATCTTTAACCACCACCCCCCCCCCAAAAAAAAACACGAAAAAAAGAAAGAAAAGAAAAAGAAGAAGCTGAAAGAACAAAAAGTTCACAAGCCTTTCCAAACCATCCCAGTCGGGTGTCTGGGTCACCGGGCCGACGGCCGTAACCTGTTGCATACGGTGTCGTGGGTTCTCTCCCTGCTGCCAGAGCCAGGCTATGGTCGGGCGTGGGTGCTCTGGATCCTAAGCTGCCAGCCCAGGACACTGACTCCCTTCCACACCTGCCTGGACCCCTGCCTCCCCATCGCCCCGCCCCTAACAGACGCCTCCAGGAATTCTGCCTTTTCTGAGGGTGTTTGTGTGCCTTTCCTGCTGACCAGTGCAATTCTCTATCCCGTGCCTGCAACCCACACGCAAAGAAATAGAAAACAAAACCCCGCCTTCTGTTGGCCTTTCTTTACCATCCAGGCCCCGCCCCTTGGAAGCTTCTGGTGGGTGTCCTGCTTCAAAAGCAGAGTTCAGCTCCTGCTACTTTCTGCAGGGTGTTTGCAGGCTGTGCCGCACACTGGCGTCCCTATTCACTTGGTCTGGTCTCCCCTCCTGCGGGTGACAAGTTCGTGCTGTGGCCTGCATGGTCTTGCATTTTTTACCTCTTTGTTTTGCCGTGAGCTCAGCCCCGGGGAGGCCGGGGGAATTGCGGACTGCCAGCCCCTGAACAGGGTGCAGAGGACGTTGACGTTTTCCTGCACGTGGCTTGCAGGACAGCAGGACCCTCAGGGGGGTACCGTCCCAAGCTCAAGAGCCCGCGAGCCCGCCGCAAACAGGCACCAGTGCGGCCCCCACGCCCTGGTGACCGAATCAGGAAGATCGTCCCCTCAGGGGACGATCCTCGTTCTGTGCGTGGGGTTGTGGGGCGCTGCGGACCCTCGAGAGGGGCCACTCATGCACGAATTCAGAATCACTTGTCAGGACACGCAGCGTGCGTTGGTGAGCCATCAGGACGGGAGGTGTTTTGAAAGCCCGAGGGCGGGACTTGGCTGTGCCTCTCGGCTAAGCTGTCACTTTGCAGATGCACAAACTCGGGCTCAAGGCTGCCCTGGAGAAAGACATGGTTTACATCCCCATTTTCCATGATTTTGGTGCATGAAAGCAAGCTTGGTTTCCCCTCTGTGCATGACGACAGGTGCTAATCAAATATCTATATGAATGAAACTCTGTGTGTGTGTGTGTGTGTACATATACATATACTTATATTTATAGAGAAATAATTAGAGACTCCAAGGGAATTCCAGAAGCTGTACCTACAGTCTTACCGCTGCCCCCAGGCGGACGTGCTGACATCATTTGAACCTCAAGCACAAGATTAAAACCCGGTTGGCGAGGTGGACAAGGCCCTTTCAGAAACGAGAGACCCTGCTCGGGGCTCACAGTTTCTACGGGGTCTCTTTTGTGTTTGACCGTGTGGGTGGGTGGGGGTGTCTATACAGCGCGTGCACGCAGACCTTCCCCTAAAATCGAGGCACACAGCGCATTGCCTCTCCGCCAGCCACTTCCTAGCGATGCTGGATCCTGTTCTTGCTTCACGGTCTCCCACCGCACGACTGCGAACCTGTCTTCCGTTAAAACCTAGAAGACTTTCCTTAAGGAATCGGTCGTGAGAAACAGTGGTCTCCCAAGCAGCGACCAGCATTTCCCAGCGTCCTGACAGCACTTTGTTGTCATATCTTGGTCTCTTTGAATTGGCCCGAAAGACGCTGCCCGCGACTGGGGCCTCCCTGTACCCCTACCCTGTCACCCCTGAGCACACCTCCAGGGCCGTCGGGTCCAGTGACATTTTGCTGTGCCCGGGAAGCGACACGCGTCCTGCCGGGGTTGCCATAGCGATCAGAAGGGTTGTTTACTGCTGAGCCACACACAGAAAGTCACGTTCACCCTTTAATGCTCTTCCTCTTGGGAGGGCGCTAGAGAGCACGTGGTCCAGGGCGCAGGGAAGAGGCTGCTAACGGCCGACCCCCCCACCCCCCGCCCCGGGCATGTCAGAAATTCGATAAAAAGGAGCCAAGCACATTGTCAAGTACAGAAGTCTTGCAGGGAGAGCCGCATCGTTTTTTTTAAAAATCGAGGTGAAATTCACGTGCTGTCAAAGGAATCATTGAAAGCGAACCATCCCACGGCAGGCACTTCGTACCAATCAAAATCCGGTTTAGCTCTGGAACAGTATGGTCCCCCTGAGGGAGACCCGGTTCCCCGTAGCAGTTGCTCCCCATCCCCCGCCCCGGCCTGTGGCAGCCACTCATCTGCTTTCTGTCCCCATGGATTCCGGGCTCTGGGTTCCTCTTTATTTCGCAAACACTTCTTCTTTCTCACGCCCCGTCTCTGAGGGGTTCCCGGGCCAGCGTGGGGCGGGGCGGGGGAGAAGGGGAGGCGGTTCACAGGCAAACGGCCCCCTGCCCGAGAGGGAAGGTGGAAAAAGGGGGCCGGGGAAGGGAAATGGGGGTGGGACCGGCCAGATGAGGACCAGCGAGGAGCAGTCGTGCGGTCAGGGAGGGAGGCGGTGACAGGCACGTGAAC